TTATGCTTGCTGCTAAAAACAGAATGATGTCCCGAGATGAATTCGATGTTTATGGACAGTATGTAGGAACTGAGTTACGTGCATTAAATGACGAACACATTGTAATTATGGCTAAATATTATATTAATAATATTTTATTAGATGCACGCTTAGGAAAATACCGTACAAGCTATAATAATCAAAGCCAGCCAACTGTGCAACAGAGCTATAGCACTGCATCCAGTGATATCAGCCCGGAGCCTTCTGAAGAGCATATTATACAAAACATACTTGCTACTATGGATTCGAGCAGTAATAGTATTAATGACACTAATACTAATTAATTTACGTTGGTTGCTATATCCATCATGTACTCTGTCAAGTTATCGATTCAAAATTTATTTTACTGAAAATAAAAATACAGTTTAATAATGTATGCATTTTCTTTAACTTACCTTTACAAATATCTTCAATTTGTTTATCAGTTCTTTACAAACTTCTGGTACTATTTTACGTATCAGTTGTTTTGACACTCGAAAAGTGTACGACAAGGAAGCATAAGAATCTCCAGTCGACAAGTACCTCAATGTAATGGCAAGTCTGATATGAGGACTAATAGCGTTCCGCAGTATTGTATTCTTTTTGGCTATGGAAGGTCCGATCATTTGCAATAAAGTTTCAAAATCAGATGATGACATTCGAGTAAAATTCACAAACGATCCGTCAGACATTCGGAGATCACTTAGAATATTAACTCTTGTTTCTCGTTGTACTAAGAAATTCCGCATCCACCACCTTTTCTTTCTCTTACGTTTCAACACACTCGATATAATTACTATGTACGCAGCACTAATAGCCACAACCTCCTCGGGCGACATTTCTATAAACACTGACTAGTGTGGCCTACACAATGTTCCGCGACACGTTCTACGTAGTTGTTGAGGAACATATTTTTTTTATTTATTTTTATTTTATTCAGGAAAACAAACGGTCACATACAAGATTTACATAATATAAAACTATAAACTACAAAAAGACCAAGCTGCTCCATAAATTTAACACAAATATAAATTTAGAATGGAATAGAATATGTACACTGCAATGGTAACTTAACAAAAAAATACATATAAATATTAGAAAGGTAATTACTAGATAGGGAGAATGGTACTTCGAGCGCAAGTAATGCCAAAGAAGTATGTTTCAAGTTTAGGGTAATCTGTGAAAAATAATATCGCCCACTTTTTGTCTATAACTAACTAAAGATGTACAAAAAATGTCGACATCTTTCAACTTATCGTTATAAAACTTACAAGAACGTCTAATAAAAGTGTTTTTGGCGTAATTTGCAGAACTAGGATTGCAATAAAAGGTTTCTTTGTAACGCGAGGAGATTCTTGGGACACTAAAGTTAATTAGTTGTAATAAAGAAGATGAGTCAATGTTACCATTAATTATTTTATATAGAAAAACTTCATCCAAAAAGACACGTCTGCTGACTAGTGAATCAATATTGTATCTTTTGGCAGATGTTTGGTAGTCAATAAAACAGTTTCCGGTACGGTAGTCTAATGATTTCAGAAATTTGTTCTGAAGCTTTTCAATGCGAGCAATATGAACTGCATATTGGGGACACCATACAACGCATGCGAATTCTAATAGAGATCGAACGAAAGCATAATATAAAATTTTGTATGTAAATACATTACTAAATGGTCTAGTGAGACGTAAAATCAATCCTAGCTGCTTATAAGCTCTGGAAATTATATTATCTATATGACTTCTAAAATGCAGCTTGGCATCTAGTATCACCCCGAGATCTCTAATTTCATGAACACGCTTGATTTTATTATCAGAAAGAACGTAGTCATAGTTTATAGAGTTATGTTTACGAGTAAAGGATATAACAAAACACTTATCAGAATTTAAAAACAGTTTATCCTTTTCACAATAATTTACAAATCTTTGCAAGTCTGATTGCAACTTTAGGCAATCCTCAGGGGTAGAAATAACTTTAAAGATCTTCGTGTCATCTGCATAAAGCAGATGATGTGAGTCATGAAAACAAGAACCAACGTCATTGATGTATATTGTGAAAAGGAATGGACCTAAGTGGGAGCCCTGCGGGATGCCTGAAGAAATTTCAAGGAATCTAGAAGTATAGCCCTTCAAAGCCACAGCTTGACTTCGATTAGAGATATAAGAACATAGCCATCTAAGTAGGTCTCCGCGTATACCGAACTCTGATAATTTACCCAAAAGCGTAGAATGACAAATTTTGTCGAAGGCTTTGGAAAAATCGGTATAAACGGCGTCCACCTGATAGCCCTTGTCAAGCGCATTCAGAAGAAAATCAGTGTACAATACCAGATTAGTATCAACACTCCTACCTCGGAAGAAGCCGTGTTGTTGCTGCGAAATATGATGAGACACTGTAGTACTAAGATCATCCACTACAATCTTTTCAAAGATTTTACCAAGTACACATAACTTAGAGATCGGTCTGTATTGTCGCACGTCATGTTTATCACCACCCTTCGGAATAGGAGTGATTAGGGCCCTTTTCCACATATCAGGGAAATGCCCTTCCTTAAGTGATTTAATGTATATAATAGAAAGGGGGATAGATAGTTCCTTAGACAATTTAGAGATAAAAAGAGGGTGTACACCATCCAAACCAGCACCCTTATTAACATCAACCCGTCCGAGATACTTTTCAACAAGACTATTCAGTGACGCGCGGAACGCCGAACTGAGCGCACGCGTAGTGGTTGATACGTTCGCGCGTACATTGATCGTGTGAAAAATTTGTGCAACCACCCTCCTTTACCATGGCCGAAAATAGTGGTGGAGAAGGTGACAAAAGTGATTCAGATATTATTGAGGAGTGGGAAAGAGAATTACAAGGCATGTTAGATTTGAATAGAATGGAGACAAATACAGTTTTAGAAAAAAACCTTAGAAAGTATGTGGAAAAAAGAGCACGCGAAGAAAGTGAAGAAAATACTGAGGAAGAGTTTACTACGGTTACTAGAAGGAGACCAAAACGCCTTATTCGAAGCAATTCTGCTTATAATCAGAATGGAGCTAGCCCAAAGGGCATATCTAATATTGAAATAGCAATTGAAGTATGCGTTACATCCCTTGAAAGACTGCCTAAGCAGATGGCTTTAGCTAAGCTATTAAAAACAGAAAAAATAGAAAAGATTCTGAGAATAAAATACAAAAACCCCTACAAGGTAATTATCCAATTTGAAAACACACAACAAGCGGAAGAATTATTAAAAAACCCTAAATTTCGCGAACTGGGTTATAGATGCCAAAAAGTATTGGAACCAAACCTCTCGTATGGTGTTGTTAAGGGTGTCGATTTAGAGATGGAAGAAAAAGAGATTTCAAACGCTTTTGAGTCCAGTTATGAAATTATTTCAGTAAAACGTTTGAAACGACTAAATGATGAGGGCAAGTGGATAGACAGTGAGGCAGTCCGAATATGTTTTAATAACCCTACAGTGCCTTCATATATATTGGTTTATGGATGTAGATTTAAAGTCGAACGATATATTTTCCCAGTTACTCAATGCTCAGGGTGTTGGAAGTTCGGGCACTCGGTAAAATTCTGTCCAATTCATAAGAAAATATGTCCTAAATGTGGGAACAACCATGACAACTGTGATTTAAAACAAATAAAATGCTTAAATTGTAAAGGTGCTCATATCGTACTCGATAGGACTTGTCCTATTTTTCTCAAAGAGAAGAAAATCCGCAACATAATGAGTGAAGAAAATATTACATATCGAAAAGCCCTACAAATATACCTCAATGAAACTAAAAGTGAACTTGAGAGTCTTAAGGTAAATGCTGACAGCCAGTCGATAATCCTTCCAACAACTAAATTAAGCATCAAGCCAACATATAGTGACATAGTTTCAAAAATGTCCTCAAAAGCTGCAATCTCCCATCAGGAAAACACTGACCCAGTTAATACTACCAAAAGCAAGTCTCAATCATCGGAAAAGAGGAAAATCCGTACCAAAAATAAAACCAGAAGAACACCTAATACGAACAAGAATGAGAGTCAAAACAGAACAGATCAGGAAAGTACAGATGGCGTAGAAAATTTTATTGACATCTCACAAGAAGAAAATGAAGAAGAAGATGAAGAACAACTATTGAAGAGGAAAAAAAGGAAAGTTGATTTAAAGAACTTACTAATTAAATTAAAGGATATAATTCTCTCAAATGTAGATTTTGAAACAAAAGTACTGTCAATATTTAGAATACTTTTCGATGCATGCAAATCTTTAATTGTAAATGTTCTAACACAAAATAATGTTATTAGCTCAATATTCAATCTGTTTAATGGATAATACAAACCTTATCACTTCCAACATAAATATTGTGCAGTGGAATTCACAAAGTCTAATGCCAAAATTGAGAAGCTTTGCAGCGCTTTTGGGTCAGGAGAGGACACACATAGCCATTATTAGTGAGACATGGTTAGAGAAGGAAAAGTCTATTAGTATAAATGGATATAACATTTATAGAAAAGATAGATTTGACTCTTTTGGGGGTGTTGCAATTTTAACTCATAAGTCACTAAAAGCTCATGTATTCCCTATTTTGATTAATAACTCCGGAATAGAAATTATATGTATTAAATTACTCAATTGCAAAGGTGTCAACTATGTTATGTCAATCTATTGTCCTTCCTCAGTTCGTACTTCTCAATCCGATTGGGATAGTCTATTTTCCGTGCTCGTTTGAGCAATAAGACTATAATAGCGGGTGATTTTAATGGCCACCACACCAATTGGTCGTTTAAAAATGATACAAGGGGTAAACAGATATTTGACTCTGCATTAGAAAATAACTTTATTTCATTAAACAATGGACAAGCCACCAGGGTCAAGATGGTTAATCAGTGGATGCAGGAATCATCTCCTGACATAACGTTTGCATCATCCGATATAGCCATTGATTTATCTTGGAAGGTATTAAACGAAAATCTCGGTAGCGACCACTTAATTATCAAAACATCACTATGCTATTCAGACACAATAACATATTTAAAAAAAAGGAATTATAAATTAGCGAACTGGAGAAAGTATAAACTACATTTGTGTAACTCTCTATCTGACTTCAATGAATGTGAAAATGACATCCAAAGCAGATATGACGACTTTGAAAAAAAAATTAAACAGTCGGCTGATGAAAACATTCCATATATTAAAATATGCACTAACCCCAGTCAAAATTTTAAACCAAAAGACTATTGGAATCCCTCGCTGTCCCACATTGTGGCACAACGAAGATTAGCTTTGAAACAGTTTCGCCGGAACCCGACCCCACAAAACCTTACTATCTTAGAAAACAAAACAACGGAAGCTAAAACATTGATTGATAAAGCTATATCAAATTCATGGAAAACATTCTGCAGTGGCATAGACCAATCATGCTCTGCTCCTGAGATGTGGCGTCGCATGCGATGGGTGAAAGGCCATCGGTCAAGGCCATCATGTGTCTGAAGATAGTCTAGAGGAGCTCTTATGCTCCCTAGCACCCGATACAGTATCAGAAAAGATACCCCACTTTGCATCCACTAATGCATTGCTTGAATCACCCTTTCAGATGCAGGAACTGAGACAGTGTTTAAAAAAGAAAGACACGGCTCCAGGAGAGGACGGTATATCTTACACTATGGTCTATAATCTACCCGAGATCGGGTTAAAAATTTTATTAAAATTATACAATGACATATTTCGTACAGGTTCAGTACCTACACAATGGCGAAATATCAGAATAATCCCCATCCCAAAACAGAATAATGATCAAGGTTCTAATTCCAAACTTAGACCCATTTCCTTACTCTCGTGCTTGTGTAAAATATTTCATGTTATGTTAGCAAAACGGTTGGAGTGGTACGTAGAAAAACATAATGTTTTATCTATGTATTCGTCAGGATTTAGGAGAGCCCAATCGTGCATAGATTCCTTGGTACGTCTGACCACTCACATCCAGTTAGGTTTCTCCAAAAATATACCAACTGTAGCTTGATTCCTAGACATAGACAATGCCTACAATAATGTTTCGACGAAAAAAATGGTGGGCACGTTAGATGAATTGCAAGTAGGGTCTGTAATTTGTAAATATTTGTGGGAATTTCTTAATCACAGAAATCTCATAATCACCACGGACATGGACGGTAAAACGCGAAATAGAAGCACTAACAAAGGTCTGGCACAAGGAGACCCAATCTCACCACTCTTATTTAACATTATCACCTACAAACTATGCCATGAGATTAGAGATATCATGGTTTGCCAATTCGCAGACGACTTCGTATTCTACACAAGTCATAAAAACTTAGCCGAGAGTGAGAGAAGTCTCCAAACGAGTATTAATGCGATGGTACTTTTATTAAACGAACTTGGTCTACAGCTATCTTGTACTAAATCAAAATTTTGTATATTCAGTAGAGGAAATAAAAGGCAGCAGATTAACTTGTACATCGATGGTAACCCAATTGTGCAGTCACAGTGTATAAAATATTTAGGACTATGGTTAGATAAGTCTTTACTGTGGAGGAAACATATAAATGAAATATACGAAAAAACTCTAAAATACTTAAATATTCTAAAAGTTTTGGCTGGTGCTAAATGGGGAGTACACCCAAAATACTTAAGAACACTATATATATCACTAATCAGAAGTAGATTAGATTATGCATGTTTTTTATATAGCAATAGTGCCAAAACACATTTATTAAAACTAGACAAACTCCAAAATCAAGCCCTAAGAATTATCGGCGGTTTCATAAAAACTACTCCCATTCATGTGATGGAATGTGAACTTAGTATTCCACCTCTATTCATTCGCAGACAGTATCTAGCATTCAAATACAGTATTAAGCAGAAATCATGGGCAAATAATGTCACAGTAGATTTATTAAACAAATTAAGCGAACAATGCACAAATACGTATTGGCGAAACAAAAATAAACCTTAATTAGTGAAATCGTTAGAACAAACTAAAGAGACTTGTGTTGAATCCACGTACCCCCTTGAAATGTTTAAGTTAGATGTATGGGTGACCTATATAGATGTCTACAAAATCATTAGAGTACATTTAAGCTGCGTAAAAGGTCCTAAAAGATTACTAGAAAGAAACAAGACGAAATGCGATATTATGTCGGAATTGAATGAAATTTATGGAGACTGGCTGAAAATTTACACCGACGGATCTAAATCCAAAGAAGGCAGCGGTGTGGCTTTTCTAATACCCCACCAACAAATTAAGGTCTTACGTAAGGTCTCAGCTAATGTCTCAATAATGACTTTAGAATTAATTGCCATTTACGAAACCTTACTGTATTTCGAAAATGTGATGAATGAATAAATAGTAATCTTTTCTGATAGCAAAAGCGCTTTGCAACATTTAGCTCGATCTGCCTCTGGGTTCAGAGGTGTACCGATAGCTTACAAAATACTCGCAAAGCTTTATGAGATGAGTAAGAACATAGGTATTAGACTTCAGTGGATTCCATCGCATATAGGTGTGAGTGGTAATGAAGAGGTTGACCGTTTGGCGAAACTAGCTACATCTCAGGGCCAGGAGTTTATCATACAGCCCGTTTACCACGAAATCCTATTCATTTATAAAAAGTTATGTATCGACTACTGGAAGGAATACTTTGATTTAAGATCGATAGATAAAGGCATATGGTATAGAACTCTTCAATGTGAGCCACACCACACACCATGGTTCGTTAATTGTAAATTATGCAGGCTAGATACTGTTACAATATTTAGGCTACGTTCCGGACATTATCCGTCGAACAGGTTTGGGTACCTCATGAAAAAAACTGATTCACCAAATTGTGAATCTTGCAATAAAATTGAAGACGTTCAACACTTGTTGGCGGAATGTACCAAGAACGAAGGCCAGCGACACCTATTGTTGACTACATTACAACTAAACCGCTCCAACATTAGTTTTTTTCAAGAAATACTGTCAGAACCCTTATCCAATTACACGAAAATGTTGTGTGACATGGTAAATCATCGTTAGTTGTACGTGTAATAACTGTAATAAAATTTAGAACTGTATTAAAAAAAAAAAAAAAAAAAAAATGTGTAACAAATAGAATAAGGCTATGATAGGACTGGCATGTTCTCTAGAATAAAAGTCCTGAAACTAAATAAAGATTTAAAAAAAAAAAAAAAAACAAGACTATTTGTTATATACATATTCGAGACATTGATAAAGGATTCTAAATAAGTTGATTCATCAAGAACGGCAGACGCGTCGTAGGCCCCCCTACGACCGGAATAAACACGGAATGAAAATAATTATTAAAAAGATTGCAAATAGTTTCTCCGTCAGTAGCAGAGAAGCCATCCATGGTCATATAAGACGGTGTATTGTTATGACAAAATTTAGACTTGATAAAACTCCAAAAATATTTCGGAGATGATGTAATTTTTTCCTCTGACAATTTTATATAATCATTGTAACATTCTGTTTGTAATTTCTTTTCGCGAGAACGTAATAATTTGAACTGCTGATAATCGCGAGGATCATTATATTTTTTCCACCTAGAATGGATTTTTAATTTTTCACGAATTAATTTAATGAGTGCCCGGGAATAAAAAATAGGATGCTTGTTATTAAATACCTTACGATTTGGAACATAAACTTCAATTAATTTATGTATAACAAAATAAAAATAGGCTACAGCAGTTTCCGTGTCCATACCGTTTAGCATTTGCCAATTTATATTTGCTAGATCTGTACGCAACCCATCATAATCCGCGGCATGAAACATATATTTTAATTGAACATTGGCCTCTAAATGTACCGAGTGAGGGAGCGACAATAAAAATTCAATAGCCTTATGATGAGGGTCCTCTTTGGTTAATGGTGAAGCAACAGTAACGCGGCAATCGCAGTTACTTAAAACTAGGTCCAGTATGCGACCATTGGCGTTAGAACAATTATTAAATTGTTTTAAATTTGATAAACACATGAAATCAGAAAGTGCAGTAGCCTTGGGGTCATTATTTGCGTTCAAAGTGAGACAAGAACTCTCTGTTAATGACCACAAAGCGTACGGAATATTAAAATCTCCTAATAGTAAAAAAGAATCATCTGGAAACTGTAGCATCCGGTCGTATACACTATCAAAAAATAATTGCAATGCGTTTAAAAGAGCCGCACCGCGTTGCGGAAAGTATCCGCAACCTATATGAATAAAGGAGGGAGAGTGTGAGGCGCGGGAGCGGGCGCGGGAGTGGTGCGAAGGCGCCGGACTCAACTCTAAGGTTAGCCACAATTCCTCTGAGTCATTAGTGGAGCACCAGTCGTTGCG